ACACACACACCTGATAGATAACCTTCTACAGTTGCGAGAGGGTTTTGCGTATTACAGTACAAAACTGTTTGTCTTCCTCGACATTCCTTCTGCAGTGGTGACTGCTCTTTGCTAAAAGTTCTTCTGGAAGAGATATATAACTTCGAACACCAAGAGTATTTCCCCTGCGGTAAAAAATGAAATGCTATTCTACCATGAATTATAATGTGCGCACTCGAAGACGAAAAACGGGAGTACATGGCTTATCTAATAGAGCGATTTATTCAAGTACCCGAAAGCCCACTAATACAGTTAAAATTTCAGGCCTTTCTGCCTTGCAGAGAAACCAGAAACGACCACCCAAGTGTCCCATGTTTTTTTTTCGTATGCATTTTGCACATGCCTACACATTTTCAAGTCACAAGTACCGAGCGTTGCCTCGTCAGTTCATTTAGCCTATAAAGACTGTAGTCTATAACAATGAGTCAGCTGGCTCAGGCGTCAGTGAGTAGCAGAGTTGATGCTCACTGTTTCTGCTCTAGTATATGCATATACAAAATAGGCACCCACGTGACCGTCTTATTTGTTTCTTAGCTAACAAGCTCTAAAGCCAAGTCGATGTGTGAATAAATACCCCACCTACTCACGATGGGTTGAGAAATGTGTTAGGTGTTCCACACGTACATTTGGTTCCCTATCTCATGATATGTAAACAGAAATTCTGAAATTTGTTTTCGTTTCGGAAAATATTACCTGAGTAGGGTTGTAATATTTATTATCTTGCAGCCTAATGACATCAGGATTCCGGCTCTTGAACAAACTTACTTCTGACTGTTCGCGAAAAAGATGCCCTGCAAAATGGCTGCTTAAGTAGTATGAAATTTTCTCATTGATTCTCGATGCCTTTAAAAATTAAATTATATTTCGTAGACAACCTGCACGGAAATATTATTCTTTGTATTCATTCGGTAGAAAGGTATGCCTTCTTCAAATTTTATACTCGAACAAAGGATATGTTAAGGTTTTAATAAAAAAATCTAAATTGGCCACTAATTCTAAACCCTACCGATGGTTACAATTGCATTCAAGGTTTACAAACTACGTGCTCTATAAATTCCCATCTAAGGAAAATCGCATGTTTCGCTACGTTTTAAAGAAGGGGTCGCATGCTTCTCATAGGAGTTTGCAATTGACGTGTATAATATTGTATGTTTTATAGGTAGCGTTACTGAATGTACTAATGTGGCGTATTATGAATGAACATTTCGTA